AACACCTACTATCTTGACACATTCAAGCATACCGCAATCACGCAAGTGCGCAAGCGTCGGGAGCCATTGAGTTTTTTAGCGGACGTTCGCTCATTCCCATTACATGACGGATGGGCCTCGACATGGAATAAAATACGCAGTGAAAGATATGCAATGTGATACAAAGTGTGAAAAAGTGGACCATCTGAGCAACATTTCTAAAACAAAAATGATTGATCTTATTGCGTTCACGATGAACCTACAAGACTACCAATTTCGATAATGAAAACAACATGAAAGTGTCCTACATAAGTTGCATATGGGGTTGAAAATAAAGGAGAGTTGTTTTGCGACCAGGTGTACATGTGTGTGGAACACGTGTACAGTTGTGTGAGTCTTGCGGGCATTTGCCGCAAAATGTCAACTTTGCGCCAACTGCATTTTTGGTCCCAATTGGACTGCTCGATGTTACAGACCAAGGCTGTCTTGACTCCTTTAGCAGCAAATAGTTGCTCTGATAATCGTTGTGGGATTTTTCACACTGACCCGAACAGAGGTTTCCCGTCTAGTGGATGCAACACCGCCAGTTTCTGGGTGGTTCGTGGGGTGCTGGTTTCGGGCTGCAGCCTTCGGCGCATCGATGGTTACCACTTGCTTTTTGAGGGCGCGTTTTTGGCTGGTGATTTATTTTCCTGACAAGAGCTGTGGAGGGTTGGGATCTGAGCGAAGATGAGATGAAATGATACCAACCTTGTTCCAGCGAGTTTCGCCCCTACCAAGATTGCGCCCCCAATGGGTCCTAGATTTTACCAAGCCTAATTCCCAATCAGGGCTATTGCTAGGATTTTTGCTAGCTCGGACGATCCGGGCCCCTGTGAAAAAGACCCTGTAAAATCCGAGCCAGCGGAAAAAAAACCTTGACGAATCCGGGTTCGAGCCAGAAAAGGCCTGAAAGCCTACCTTACCAGAATCTCGCGGGATGGGGAAATGATCGTGAAACTCACAGTGGGTGGCACGAAGGCTGGGAAGGTTGGAGATTTAAGAGCGGCACTATAGGGGGGGAGAGAGACTTTCTGTAGACTTCGAAATTTCTATATGTGGAGTACTAATAGCCACGTCAACGCAGTACCGGAAATCAAACACCTGAAGGCCAAACCAGGAGCAAATGCCAAGGATTATTCACTGAAAGTGGCCTATGCGTTGTACACGGGGAGAGGGAGGGGATGCGAAGCAGGTCGGGGACTATAAGTGTTGCTAAAACTTTCCGGGTCCCCTCGAAAACATCCCGGAGTGATCCGAGTGGGCTCAAATATCGCCCTTCAGGTTTACGGGCTGGTCCGAAAATCACCTTGTGAAAATCAGGGCTGCTCTAAAAATCACCTTATAATTTCAGTCAAAACAGGGTAATTGCCCTGATAACATAGGCCCTGTTCCCAATACCCTTGAAACCGCCATGGACTGTTCTAGTTTTGGGGTTGAATTCCTTTGACAACTGCCCAAATAAGTTACAGTCTGAAGAGAAGTACAATCTGGCCCGTAGATCGTTTGGGGTACTTAATGTCCCAATTTACCCTACGACAATATTGACGGGTTTCAGGAGCACAGCGTTGGTTCAGAATTGGGGAGCCAAACGACTTAAGGTGTACATTCAAATTTCAGGCCCATTTGGTCTGGTCTGGTTCGTCCAGCTTGCTGAAACAGCGGAAAAGTAGATCCAGCTTGCAGCATTTGCATATAGACAAATAACATTATTTCCCTAATGAATGAAGGGCAGCCTGTGAGCATGAAGGTCTGCTATCCTAAGGGGTGCTCGTGATCCTAATCATAAACTCGTCGAGGGGCTGGAGCAAGTCTGCTTGTTCTAATCATTCCACACGGTCAGCTTGTGGTTACTATGATGACTGAGGTTCACGATGACCTGAGACCATTCTGCACCATGGAAAATATATCTTTCTCCCGAACTCGCAAGCTGAAACCAACTCCACAGCCGACCAATATTCTGGATTGGAAGAATCGCGCTGTCGAGATAATCCATAATCGAATCGCTAGGCATGCCTAAACACAACAGTGTGATGTCTAGGTTTCCCGAAAACGACAATAATGTCGGACTCCCGATGTTTCACATCATTATTAGGACGTGGCCTAGACCGGGTCTGATTGCCTCGATCAGAAGCGATCAATAACTTCTAGGAAGCCCCACGGCCAATTTCAGGCAATCAGGGGCAATCAGTTGATCGTGATCAATTGATCGCCCCAACTCGATCAACGGCCTGAAACACCCCAATCAAACACAATCACACACAATCACGCACGATCAGTTGATTGCGTTGGGTTGCGCCCCCATGCGACGCCAACGAAAAGTTACAGTGTTCACCCGGGTTTCGAGTAGTCCTCGCCTTACATCCACGACTGCAAAAAACTTTTTGGACGCGCATGCTGTTCGCCTTACATCAAACTCTGTCTGCGAAATTACAGGGTGACAAAAGTATCGCTGGAGCAGTGCCTGTGTCTTTCGCTGTCGCCAAATTTGGCTTGAAGCTGTTAGGAAATGTGTTTACGTTTGCCATGCACCATCCTGTCAACTTCGCGAAATTTCATCTCTGATCGGGCGGCACGCGTCGCGCGATCAAAGTCACCCCGATCAGATCCAACCCGAGCAGATCACTGCCGATCGGACCCGGTCTGGGCCACATCCTTAGCCTGACAAAAGCTAGTAGTAGTCTATTAGCCTCAATACTGAGCCTTGTGGGTTTTGAGACCTGGCTTCGTGATCAGAGTTCCTAAATTTCCGCTACTAGTAGCATGTGACAACTACTGATAGTCAAACTGAAAATTGCAAATAATGCGTAGACTTAGGAATGAACTAAAGGATTATGAGCGTGGTCAGTCTTAAGCGATGAAGGGCATGGGCATTCTTCCATTGAGTTTTAGTGGACCTTGCGTGATTGGCCCTTAGCGGTCGTTCTGGCCAATACTGTACTGTGTTTTTTCGCCATTCCAACCATCCTACGTGGAAAACTCAAAAACATATTTAACACGCTGATACGCTCGTGTGATTTGAGCGCCAATCGACACCGTGCTGATTGTCGCATCGACTCACTTTGAGGCGTTGGGCGGGTGTGCTGATGCTTCTACTGTACATTTAGTCTGGGTGCATCAGATACGAACGAGGTGGCTGACAGCCTTCCAGAAAGTCCACAACTTTGATAGTGATCGCTTTCTTGTTTCTGGTCTTAGTTTAAAAGGTCTCAAGCTAGTTGCAGCCATTGAATGTCGTCAGAAGTGTAGTTCATCTGTTTCCCAAAACCCGAATTCTAATCACTGGGAACAAATAGACAGACCCATGCTCGATATCAAAACAGACTGAAGCGGATTTTGCCTACAAGAGTGGAGAACAGTCTTGCCGGTATGGCCCCTCGTATTGTAAGATGCAGTCATGTGTTGTCTATGGAGAACCTGGCAATTTTAACCCCCCGTTTTTTTGTGCGCTTTTACTATCGGGTGAGCATTCACTCCAGGCCTATCTTTTGCCTTCGGCCAATTATTTCCCCCATCAACAGCCAAAAGCCGCTGTTGCGCTCCAGGAGACAATTACCCTGGCTTGGGGAGTTGTACCCAAACCGATCGGGTCCCGGTAAAAATATTTGAAGATGTGTATGCAGGGGATACTTGTTTCGATCAACACCCCAGTTGGGTGGCTTGTACTCTGTCCCAGGGAAAACACTCCCCAAACACTTCATACCCCCGACTCCCTTCGCACCCGGAGGTTCGATCGCCTTCAGATTGTTGTTTGACAGGTTTGTTGTAGGTTCTGTTGTTTGTGGTAGCTGACATGGTGTTAGTCGCGTTGTTTAGTGCGGAACCTGCCTAAAAGTATTATAGTGCCATGGCGTATCGAGCCCTAGCCATCTATCGACGCCTACCACACCCTCGTAATACTCCCCTTTCCTCGCCAAGGTCCGAAATGGTCACGGGAAAAGAGATGCATCAATGAACAACTGGTCCTTCGGGCAAGATATTGACAGAGATTGACCGAAACCATTTTCCAGATTCACCTGCCAATGACTTGCTCGAGTGCACAGCACAGGTCTACAGACATTTCTCGGCGGGGCTTCCCCATAAAATTTGACTAGCCCCCTGCTTGTGCACAGCCGAAAATCAGAGGACAATGTTTCTGTGCCATCGGTTACTGTAGCCGGTTATGTGTTGAACTGTACACATTTTCACCGCCGTTTTTGTTTGAAATGCTGAGTATGATAGCGACCACTCGTCCGGGTGTCGTTATTTGTGCGTGGCTGGCTGGTCTCCCAATGACAGGGGAGGACTCGGATGGAGAGGAGGTACAGTACCTTCCTCTTGTTGGTGGAGGGAGTGCGCCATACCAGTTGTCGTTGCCCGCTTCATGGAACACACCGCCTGCCGCTCTCACCGAACGCCCTCCCCGCCCCCCAGTGGCGCTATAGCGATTTGCGCAAGTCATCCCGCTCCTCGCAGGTGGTGTGGATCCACCACAACGCCGCCCACAGGCCACACCCCTCAACTCAACTCGAGCACAGAGCAGCAAGCACACCAATCGTGCTCGCACGCACGCCATCTGCAGCTCCAGATTCCATTTTTTGCATCTCTTACTAGCCTACGACAAAGGAGCTTCACAACCCTTGGAGCGGCATCACCTTCAACAGCGACACTGGATTGTTTCGACTTCTTCCTGGTCCACGCAAAGCATTTCTATGGCCGATCCAAGTGCGTGGAACGAAAACTCTAATTCCAGATTGAAGCGGGATTCCCTCGCATCAGGTCCGTCCTGTCAGACAGAGGACCAACCACGTCACTTCAAAATTTCAGACCGAGTCTGCAACAGTTTCAGTCAGAGAGATCGTATTACCCATATTAGCACCGTGCTAAACACTTCAGGAGGGATTGCGGCGAGCGGACAGCGAAGGTGTGAGGGGAGCTCGAGGTCCCCGCCAGTGGTGTTCCTATTCGGCCAGCGGGTAGATCAGCGTTCGACCGACCCCTCAATGGAACCCGTAGAGAATCCCCACAAGAGCGCGCCGGTGATTCGTGGGGGATCTGACGGTCGGCAGCGACTAGCGCCTGTGGTTCGCCGAGCATCTTTTCCTGACGATCTCGTGGCCGCGGGCGATCCTAACTTCACGTGGCGCGGAGACTCCGGCGGCGAAGCGCATCCGCGAGCGGCGTATTCGTCTCGCCACTCCGTCGGACCTGCTAACGATGCGCTGCTTGTACCTGCTGCTGCGAGCTTGAATCTTTCTCTCGGTCCTCCCCGCGCCGCGCTTTTGCCGTCCTCGAGGCAGCGAGGTCGCGACACCGTCGTCGAGAGCCTTCCCGCCGTCGCCATGGACGTCGCGGACGCTGCGGCGCCTGCGACGGCGCATCACGATGCTCAGACCGGTGACGGGAATCTGACGGTTCGCACCTTCACGTTCCCTCTTCCCGCTGACGAATCAGCCTCGCCTCGTCCGGGTTTCAAGCGAGGCCGAGGGCGCCCCGACGACGATGACGACGACGACGACGACGACGAGGTCCAAGGGCGGGAGCGACCGTCGCGGTCTTCCCCCTCGCCCTCCAGTGCGGGTCGCGGGGGACTGAGCGCGAAGTCCGCAGGTCAGCGAAGCGGCGGCAGCGGCAAGAGCAGCGAGGGCCCGTCCCGCGGTAAGTTGTCAGGACGACGTGGCGAGGCGGCGGATGCTGCATTGCCGACCGAGATCAGGCGAGTCGCTAGTGGCGCTCGCCTCGCTGCTCCGTCCCCCGTGTCACAGGCTCGTGCCGACCTCGACCGCCAAGGGCTGTCCCCTGAATCCCGCTTCCCGCAGCCTGTCAAAAACGCGCGCACCACGGAATCGCCGCCGCCACTTACCCCCGCTCTCCCGCGCCCCGTGGGCCCGCATATCACGCAGCGCGACCGCGTCCATATGAGTTTCGGCCGGGGTCTGCAATTCCCGCAGCCACCGCCGCCGCCTTTGTTCCTGGGCGGCTCGACTGGTGTGACCAGCTCCGCCGCCACCGCGAGCAGCGCTGCGGCGGCAGCTCCCGCCACAACTGTGGCTGCATCGGGGGGGTGGAACGGTCCCGACGGCTCGAGCTTGCTCATGCACAGGCGGCTTCCGCCCGTCGCTGATGTGGGGACGGGCTTGGGCGCACCGGGTGGCGATGGGAGGGGGCCCGGTGCCCTGGAGGCGGAGGAGGAGCAGCGGGGGGGCGCAGCGGACGCGGCAGGCGGAGGGGAGCACGGGTGGCAGTGGCACACGCGGCTGCGGCGAGCGCGCACGGAGGGGCGGCTGCTGGGGGAGGTGTCGTCGCACAACAGCAACACGTTCGGCGCGAGCGACGAGCGCATGGCGGGGCCGCTGGGCTTGGCGCGCCTGGAGTGGCACGGGCTGCTCGCCGCTGGCTCTAGCGCCAGGCTCGGCGGTGCTGACGACCGCGTTGCCGCCTTGCTGAGGGGCGCGGGGGGAAACACCATGGACAGTGGCAATGCTGGTGGCGAGACAGGGGCGAAGCGCGGAGCAACGTTTCTCACTCCTCGCACGGAGAGTGGCGGGCCTGGGTGGCAATTAGCCCAGCGGCAGCAGCAGCAGCAAATTAGCGCAGCCGCGCTCGTTTCCGCTGCAGCTGCTGGCATTGCAGCGTCAACCCAACAACGACAGATGGCACAAGAGCTGGCGGAGGCACCGCCAGGGGCGCAACCGAGTCCCCCTGTGCTGCCGCGGGTGCCGGGCCAGCATCTAAGCGGGGGCGCGGTGCTGTCTCCGCACGGGCTGCCTCCTCGCCGCGTGTCCAGCTTTGACTTCTCGCTCGTCAGCCACAAAGTGCCCCCACCTCTCCCCCGCGCTGCATCATACCGCGACGCACCCCCGGCCCCCACCACTGCCGCAGCAGCTGTAGCGGAGGGGAGGGCGGGCGGAGGTGGATATGGCAGCGGCGCTGCAGACGTGGGAGGACGGCGCGGGTCTGAAACTGTGGGTGGGGGCGGGGCGGGCGTGGGTCGAGGTGCAAGGGCTGGGGGTGGGGGTGGGTCGACGACAACAGGGGCTGGCGGGGCTGTGGCGGGTGGGGGAAGCAAGGGGCGGTTGTGGTGTGGCGAGGAGGGGTACAAGTGCAAGGACTGCGGCATGCGCTTCACCAACGCACAGGCGCTGGGCGGCCACATGACCGCACACACCAAGCGCCGCCGCTCCAACTTCGCGAGCTACAGCTTCAGCGACATGGGGTCCGGTGGCAGCAGCGCGTTCACCATGGCAGGTCCCACTGCCATCGCCCCTCCTCCCACTGTGCCTGCTGCCACGCCCCTCGGCATCACTGCACCCCCTGTCGCCATCCCTTCAGGGGCGCCCCTTACGCACGCTGCTTCTGCTGCAGCGGCTGCCTACTTGGCCAGCGCAGGCGCAGGAGCAGCGGCCATTGCGGGAGCAGTGCCATCCCCTCACGCACATGCAGCGGCAACGCTAGCAGAGCCTGTCCTAGGATCGCTGCTTGGCCTGGGGCTGGGTGGTGCAGGCAGCACGGGTGTGACACGGGGGGGCCACAGCTTGCAGGAGCAGAGGAGTGCAGCCGCACGACAGCAGATGGTTGGCGGGGGGAGGGCAGACCTGGGGTCAGGCATTGGTGTGGGCAGCAGTAGAGAGACAGTGGGCAGAGGGTTTGAGGCGAGGGGTGGTCGAGGCGATGGCGGGGAGGAGGTGGAGTGGGGCGCGGTGGCATTGCAGCGACAGCAACTGGTGCAGGCATCGGAGAGCAGCCAACCCACCGTGCACTTCAAATCAGGTCAGCACCACCCACAACGCTGGAAGGGGTGTGTGCCTCAGGTGTCAGAAACGCACGCCTGAACATTTGAAGCATCTCTTGTGTGTTAAGAAGCTCACCTTCTTCTCTCTGCCGTTGCTGCCCTCTTTCCATCTGTCCTGTGCCCAGACCCGTCGGACCTGTCAGCACCAGAGCTGGTGTCAGCGAGAGCATGGTCGCAGCTGGAGAGGTCCAGCGGAGGGGCATCCACTCCCCTTGCGGGGGGGCTATCTCCGTTTGCGCATGCTCTAGCGGCCACAGCTGTCCCTGGTGCAGATGGCCCCCTCTCCTCCGCTGCTGCTGCAGCTGTTGCAAATGCGCACTGGACTTCCTTCAACTCAGGTGCCAGTAGCACCCCTCAGCAATTCCCGCCCACCGCTGCTGCTGCAGCTGCTTCAGCCACCGCTGCTCTAAATCTTTCCCCTTATGCTTTATCTCAGATGCCCTTCTTAGCGGCACTATCTGCTTCTCCTGCTTCTGCTGCCGCTGCAGCGGCTGCTGCCACAATGTCAGCGGCAGCACTACCAAGCATCGTGCATGCGCCCCATAGCCCCCTGCATGCCACAAGCTCTTTTGCCACGTCTCTTGCGGCGGCAGCGGTGGCCGCTGCAGCGGCTGCTAGCGCTGGCGTCAAGGAAATGTCACCCCAGGGTCGTGTAGCGGCAGAGCAGGTAACGCTACGTGGTGCTCATGCCATACCAGGTTCAGTAGGTTGGAGCCGACGCGAGGACCAGTCTATACCGTCTGTAAGGCCTTCCTTAGATGGTGTTCCCGGTATGCTTGCTGCTGAAGGTGGTGGAAACCAAGACACCGATGTGGAAGACCAGAATGAAAGCAAGGTTCGGATTGACTTGAACCTTGCATTATAGGAAGCATTTGGAGTGGGTGAAAGATATCGAGAATGTCAACAACGATTAGTGTGTGCAAGGGAGGGAGCATGAAAATGTTCACTTGCATTTTGCAGTGTCTTGGGCTACTGGTTAGCATGCAAGTTTGGGTCTGTATGCACCCAGTATTGATTGTTCAAAAGCTATGATTTTCCCCAAAATAACACTTCTGGAAGCCATAAAGAAAATACTGTCCATGTAAGCTAACATCCAACCAGCATGGCCTTAGGCACAATAATGCAGAAGTTAATGTGAGTAGCTCGCATATATTTCATATGCTGTATACATGGAGTTTTCAAAACTCCCATTTATGTTTCAGCAATGGCTTTACCTAGGCTGTTGGCCAGTTCCATCCCGACCAAGCGACTTCCATTTGCGGCCACGCGGCCGTGCGGCAACTTATCTGCCCAGACCCTGCCCTTGCACGTTTCCCCTCCCCGCCACCTTCCATGTTCGCGCCGCGGAGGGTGCTGCTGCTTGGCGGGATGGGGGCTGGGTTGCGTTGCGGGGAATTCACTGTACCGCGAGAACGAGCGGCAAGCATACTGCCCAGCAGTTCCGCCGAATGACCTAACTTGGGGGGCCCCTCGGGGCCATTTTCAGGGGAGCGGAGCCGTCACAACTTGCCTGTGTCACGGGGACTCTCCGTGACCCGCTTGCCAGGCGGGGCGGGGGGAGTCTGAAGGCAATCCCGAAGTGCATGTGCTGCTCTCCGTGTGCCTTTCCCCGTTGGAGCTGCCTCCACCTACATGCCGCCGCCTCCTCACCCCACCCGCCTTATCTGACTTCCACCCTGCTAGATGCAATTGGTTCCATGGTTACCTCCTCTGCTGCAGGAGCCGGGCAGTAAGGCGAGCGTGTATGTCAGCGTTAGTATCTGCGCGGTCGTAGCAGCACCATGGCTTTGTTCTGACCCGTCATTTGTTACGACCTTCGTATTACTTAACTTATCTCTGAACTAGCATTCAGACCTTGCCTTCGGCAGTGCTCCTCAGACCTTTGCCGTCATGACACTTATTTAATTTAATACGATTTGAAGGCCCTAATAAAAAAAGGCGTCTACTGATTTTTTTCGTTTGTTTTTATCGTCGTGCCCCGGTATCTCTCCTCCGCGCCATCGAGTGACGGCCCGTGGGGCGAGGCGAGGGCATGTCGGAGTGGTCGCCTCTGCTCAACGGTCCTCCGGGGACCACGTCCTTCTGCGTCACTTTGGAGGACGCGTCGGGTCGCGAGGTGTCGCCATGGCACGACGTGCCGTTGCATTCCACCTCGGGCGGCTTCCACCTCGTTTGCACCACGCCCAAGGGGACTCAAGTAGACTGCCACGTGGCTGTTCAGGAGAGGCTCGCGCCGCTGCGCCATCGCGTGCGAGCAGCCACTGCAGCGGCGGGGGGCGGGTGGCAGCTGGTGCAATTCAACGAGCCGGTCCCCTGGAATTGCGGCGTGCTGCCGCAGACGTGGTCGGACGGCGCGCAGCGGTGCGCGGAGTTTGGAAACCTGCCGTTCGACGACAGCCCTATAGAAATGGTGGAGATCGGGCGGCGCGTGCGGTCAGTGGGCGAGGTGTACTCCGTGGGGGCTCTCGCGGTGTTCGCGCTGGTGGACCCGCGCGGGCTGCGGCTGTCGTGGAAGGTGGTGGGCATAGCGCTGGACGACGATAGCGGCGTGGTGGACTCGCAGAACGGCTCGCTGCACATCCTGCTCGACTCCATCCAGGAGTGGCTGCACTCCTGCCGCGCCATCCGAGGTACGCCTCCCGCCACCTGCGCCACCCGCGCTACGCCCTCCCAGTGAGCAACCAAGGCGCATCGCGCGTTGCCACCTACCCTTATGTTGCACGTCTCTGTTTGTTTCTGATAGAATTCTACTTCCCCCGCCCCCTTTTTTCCCCCCTAGCCGCCCTCTCTCTCACCTGTTTTTTCTGTCCCCTCCGCCCCCTTCGCTCGTCTTCTCACATCCCTCTCGCAACCGTCACACCGGCTGCCTCTCCTCCTCGCGCGCGCGCCGTGTGCGGGCAGGCGAGCGCGGGCGCGTGTTGCGGCTGAAGGAGGGCGTGGCGGACAAGGACAAGGTGCTCGAGATCGTCGCGCACGCGCACGCCGCGTGGCAGCTGCTGCGCGCGGAGCGGCAGGCGGCGCTGAACCCGCGCATGACGATGCTGGGGCTGGACGACGGCGACCTGAGCGAGGAGGAGGAGCTTGCGCGCGCCACCACGGGCGGGGGCATGCTGGCGGGCAAGGTGGGGCTGGGGCCCCCTGTCCGCATCTTCGGCGAGTCGTACGCGTCTGACATCGGCGGCCGCCGCACGAGCCGCTCGTCCGAGCGCGGCAATGTGCGCACGCTGGGCGCGCCGGTGTTCGGCAGCAGCTTGCTGACGGAGTCGTGGGACAGCGAGGAGGAGAAGAGCCACTCGCGCCAGCAGTCGCTCGAGGACGACTGGGACGCGCCCGCCAATTCCAAGAAACCCGCCGCGGACGGAAATTTCGGGGGAAGCGGAGGGGGTATTTGGGGCGGAAGTGGTGGCGCTCGGGGCGGCGGCGGGATTTGGGGAGGTGCGGCGTCGACGGGGGGAGGTCGAGGAGCTGGGGGGATGTGGGGAGGGGGGTCGTGGCAGGAGCGGGAGAAGGTAAGTGCGCCAGGGTTCAGCGACGGCGCGGATCGCGCGCTTGTGCGCGCCAGCTCGTCGGCGGAAACGTCGCGCAGCCCGTGGCGGGTGGACGAAGGGGGCGGGGGCTACCTGGACGACGACGACGGCGGGCCGGGCGGGGGGAGAGTCGGCGGAGGAGCGGCCGTGGCTGCGGCCGGGGCAGGGGGAGTGAGCTCCCCTTCGGGCCCGCGGAGTGGGGAGGATTGGGGCGAGGAGGAGCGGATGGGGGACGGCGGGAAGAAGGGGTTGCGGCAGAAGATCATGGGGAAGCTGAAGCGCACGGCGCACAGCTGGAAGGAGGGCCTCACCAGCGGCACCGACGAGCGCGACGGGCTGCGGGGCCGCGTGGGGTCGGGCGAGCTGAGCATGTCGCCGCGCGCGCAGGCTGCGCACGACGCGTACGTGCAGCAGCACACGGATGGCGACGACGAGCAGCCGCCGCAGCAGCACGCGCAGGGCGGCACGTACGGGCATGGGCAGCAGCAGCAGCAGCAGCAGGGGGGAGGCAGAGCCAAGGGCGGATGGCGTCCCTTCGCGGGGGGAGGGCTGCAGGCGGACGACCTCTCCGCCTCGCAACGCCACGGCCGCTCCAAGTCGTTCATTACCGGGGGGCCTGGGGGAGGACAGGGGGGGCCTCGCGGAAGCGGAGCGGTGGACAGCGCAGGGGCAGGTGCAGGGGCGGCGAGTGGGGCGGGCTGTTCGCAAGGGTCGTTAGAAGGGGGGTCCGGGGGGCGCGGGGCTGGCGAGGGTAACGCGGGCAGCAGCGGGGGCACGCCTGGTGCGGGTCAGAACGGGCCTCGTAACCGACCCATGTGGTTACCAGGCGGCTCCAAGCTGCCGTTATTGAATCGCCCAGTGTCGTCGTCGGGTCGCCTGGGTCGCAGCCCGTCCGTGGGCTTCCCTTCCTCGGCCACCCCCAAGGCGGCAGACGCAGCGGGCGTGGGCGCGGAGCTAGATGCCTTTGACGCGCACTGCCGCGCCAAGCCCGCGCCTTTCTCTCCCCTCACCCCCTCCGCGTCCCTTTCGCCCCTTGCTAATGGCATTTCCGCTTCCAGCCTTCCCCCCCTGAGCCCCGCCCTTGGCTCTTCCCCCTCCATCTCGCTGGGCGCGCGGGAGCTCTCCCGCACGCCCTCCGCGGACAGTCGCCACCTGCAGACCACGGCGCTCAGCCCGCTCGCCAGCCCCACCGCAGTGGGCGCAGGCGTGGGATCCCGCGGGCGGGGCGCGATGGCCGGCGCTGGCCGGGGCTCCGCGATTCCGTCGCTCGTCGACAGCCCCTCCGCCATCGGCGGTAGCCCCCTGGGGTCCCCGCGCGCGCCCACGCTCTCGGGGCCTCCCCCCCTCCACCGCGATCTCTCCGCCCCATCCGACCTGCTTTCCAGCCCCAGTGGGTCGCAGGGCGGCAGCTGGCCTCCCCCTGTTCCGCGCGCGGACAAGAGTGGCGGCCAGCCCGAGCGGGATGGCTCCGCGGGGAGCAAAGCATCTCCCCAGGTGCGCGCGCTCTCCCCGCTTAAAGACCAGGGGGGCCTGGCTCCCGGGGTTATAGCTGTGAGTGGCGGCGGCGGAGCGGGGCCGACCCCTCCGAAAACAGGCGGAACAATGCGCGGAAAGAGCTCCCTGCGCTGGCGGCGGCCGGGCACTGCGCCCTCGGGGGGCGAGAACGATGCGCAGCTGCAAGCAGAGGGGGGAAGGGCAGGGGGGGCACGGCTGCGAAGCGGGGAGATGGAGGGCAGCGGGGATGGGGGGGGACGTGGTAGCGGTGACGAGGATTGGGCGCGGGCGGGCGCGGAGGAATGGGAGGGCGACGAAAGTGAGGGCGGGGGGAGAAGGACGAGCAATGGTGGCAGGATGAGCGGCGAGGGAGTGGGGCCGGGGTGGGCAGGGCCAACGGGGGGGGAAGCGGGCGTAGGAACGGGGGAGGAGAGGTTGGGCGCGGCAGTGGGGCAGGAGAGCGTGGATCGATTGCTGATCCCGCACAACGGCGCGGGCCCTGCGTCGGAGCCGCCCTCGCCCTCCGCTGCCTCGCCCACACCTGCAGCTGCGCCTGCTGCCGTGGCCGACGGCGCTGACGGTGCAGCAGCAGGGGGGGGATGGGGCGGGGAGGGTACTGACGAGGGGGGAGGGGGCGCTGCTGGTGGGGCGGGAGGCGGTGGAGCAAGGCGCACCAGATGGCGCAAGATTGAAGTGGTGCGCCGTCCGCCCATCCCCGTGCGGGGTGGTCCGGAGCAGGGGCAGGGGCAAGGGCAGGGGCAGTCCGCATCACCAACGCAACCAGCACAGACGCTAGAGCTTGGACAGGCGCAGGGGCAGGCGCAGGCGCATGCGCAGGCGCAGGGGCAGGGGCAGGGGCAGGGGCAGGGGCAGGGGCAGGGGCAGGGGCAGGGGCAGGGGCAGGGGCAGGGGCAGGGGCAGGGGCAGGGGCAGGGGCAGGGGCAGGGGCAGGGGCAGGGGCAGGGGCAGGGGCAGGGGCAGGGGCAGGGGCAGGGGCAGGGGCAGGGGCAGGGACAAACGAGGGCATTGTCTCCTCTGCGTATTGCGGAGTGTGTGGGGCGGGAGCAGGGCGAACAGAGGTTGAAAGAAGCGGAGAGCCTTGTAGCGCGGGTGAGTGAGAGGCGCAACGGGGAGGACGGCGCTGTGATTCCGCGCACTGTGTCCTCAAGCCCGCGGGGCGTGCACACCGGTGCAGGGGGCAGGCACGGGGGCAAATGGAAAGACGGAGGTGGAGATGGGAGGGGAGATGGGGGGCCACGGGCGGAAGCAGGGGGCGGGCGCGCAGTGTACACGGGCAGTCTGCGCACGCGGTCGGACATGACGGGCATCATGGCATCGTTCGACCCACTGGACGCGGAGCACAGCCGCGCGGGCAAGCACCCGCCCGCGCTGCAGGGCGCCGCAAATGGCGGGGGCAGGCCGCAGGTGGTAGTCGAGCGAGCGAGGGCAGACGCGGCAGGATGGGACAGGGGGGCGCAGAGAAGCAGTGAGGCGGAGTTGGGGAAGGGGGAGAGGGGCAGGGCGGAGGGGCGATGGCGACACATGTCATGGCAGGCCGAGCCTGGTGGCCGCGACGAGTGGACTGGCGACGGCGGTGAGAGGGGCCGGGGGAATGAGAAGGTACCGTGGAGGGAGTGGGAAGAGGAGGATGAGGAGGCAGGGCATGAGGACGAGAAGGTGGACGCAGTGAGGCAGGAGGAAGAGGAGGAAGATGATGAGGAGTACTTGGCAAGTCGAGCCCAGTATCTGTACCGCTTGCAACCACAGAAGCAGCAGCCTCTGCCCTTGCCGCAGCCGCAGCAGCCGCGGCAACAGCAGCAGCAGCAGCAGCAGCAGCAGCGGCAGCGGCAGCAGCAGCAAGAGCGTGAGGAGATGAGCAGCAAGGGCATGTGGGATGGCAGGCTGGAGGGTCAGTTGCGACAAGGGGGCGAGAGGAGGGCGGCGCAGCAGGGACAGGGCGCGAGGGGGGCTGGCATGGGCGGTGGGGAGCGGCGAGAGGCGCTGTGGGATGCACGCGGGCAGCAGGGGGCAGCGCAGCAGATGTATGATAGCTGGCACGCACGACATGAGGAGCAATACGCGGAGGAGGACGAGGAGACAGAGGACGATGAGGAGGAGGGGGGGAGGGAGGAAGAGGAGGAGGAAGAGGAAGACGAAGAAGATGAGGAGGAGGAGGAATATGAGTACGAAGAGAGAGGGGAGAGGGTGCGCAGAGAGGGAGAGGGAGCGCTTGAGCCAGAGGAGCAGGGCGGGCGACCTGGGTGCACGCAGGGGGGTGGCGGAAGCGGTGGGCGGGAGCGGCGGGGCAGCACACAGGGGTCGCGGGGGGAGGGCGAGTGGTGGGACGGGAGAGAGAGGCCGAGGGAGGAGGGCGGGTATGGCAGAGGGTCGAGTAGCACAGCGCGGGTGGGGAGCAGCGGTGGAGCAGCGGTCGGGGGAGGGCATGGTGGGGCGGATTCCCGGGGAGGGCGCAGCAGCAGCAGCAGCGACGGGCAGAGGAGAGGGGGGCGGCGAGAAGGGGTGGTTTCAAGCGAGGAGGAGTACAGCAGTGGAGAGGGGGGGGCGGGCGCCAGGGTGTGGCACCAGCAGCAGCCGCCGCCGCCGCCGCAGCAGCAGCAGCAGCAGCAGCAGCAGCAGCAGCAGCAGCAGCAGCAGCAGCAGCAGCAGCAGCAGCAGCAGCAGCAGCAGCAGCAGCAGCAGCAGCAGCAGCAGCAGCAGCAGCAGCAGCAGCAGCAGCAGCAGCAGCAGCAATGGCAAGTACGGGAGGATGTGAGGGGGCGGGGTGAGGGGCGAGCAGTGGTGAGTCCTGCAAGGCCGCCGCGCAGTGGCACGTGGGACGATGGCGACTTTGAGCGCGCAGGGCGCTTCCCCAAAGCGCTCTCGCATGACTCCCCCGGGAGAGGCTCCCCCAGCCGTGGGCACACAGGGCGCGGTGGCAAGGTAGCGCACGAGCACAGGGATGCGCGCAGGGACGCCGTTGACCGCAGGGCCGGCAGTGGCAGCACTGGCAATGGCAGGGCGGATGCGAGTCGTGGGGACGGCAGTGGGCGAGGGGATGGCAGGGCGAGACGAGGCGATGGGCGCGCGAGTGGGGCTGATGTGAGGGGCAGCGGTGGGGAGAGTAAGGGCGCGGTCGGGGATGGCAGGGGGGGAGTGAGGGTTGGGGGGGTCGCGGGACCGAGGGGGCATCTGGGAAGTGGGGTCGGGGCAAGGCAGAGCGAGGATGGGCGAGCAGCGGCGCGCATGGTGATGCCTCGCAGCGCCACCGTGGCCGCCGTGCTCTCCACCTCCACCCCCGGGGCCGCCTCGCCCGCCACACCACCACGCGGTGCTGGGGGCGCGGGCGCCGGTGCGAGTGGCAGTGGCAGTGGCAGTGGCAGGGGGTACGGGTCAAGTGGTGGCAGGGGGGCAGCAGGGCAGGTGGAGCGGAGCGGCAGGCAGGGCGAGGAGAGGGCACAGGGGTTTGCAGGGATGCAGGCCCGCGGAGGGGTGCAGGTGAAGGGGGGGGGAAGAGGGGTTGGGGCAGCGGAGGGTGTGAGGCACGGGAGCTACGGACCCAGGCAAAGGCCTGCACCGACCAGGGAGGGTGGTGCTGCTGGGCGTGTGTGACGCATGCATGTGAGTGCATGCGCATGGCATGTGAGTGCATGCGCATGGCATGTGAGTGCATGTGCATGGCATGTGAGTGCATGCGCATGGCATGTGAGTGCATGCGTATGGCATGTGAGTGCATGCGCATGGCATGTGAGTGCATGCGCATGGCATGTGAGTGGATGCGCATGGCATGTGAGTGCATGCGCATGGCATGTGAGTGCATGCGCATGGCATGTGAGTGCATGCGCATGGCATGTGAGTGCATGCGCATGGCATGTGAGTGCATGCGCATGGCATGTGAGTGCATGCGCATGGCATGTGAGTGCATGCGCATGGCATGTGAGTGCATGCGCATGGCATGTGAGTGCATGCGCATGGCATGTGAGTGCGTGTGTGCATGGCACGTGAGTGTGTGTGTGCATGGCATGTGAGTGTGTGTGTGCATGGCATGTGAGTGTGTGTGTTCATGGCATGTGAGTGTGTGTGTGCATGGCATGTGAGTGTGTGTGTTCATGGCATGTGAGTGCATGCGCATGGCATGAAGGACCACCTCCACCGCTCTGCCCCACATGCTGCCCTCTTGTGCTCTGCAATTTCTGCGTCGTTCCCTCAGTAACCCCCCTTGTCCGGCCAAGTGTGCGTGGCATGGGTGCTGCGTGCTATGGTGAGCCACCCAGAGCTGCTTCCTGCATCCGGCAACGCGGGCCCCACATGTGTACCCATGTCTTGCACAACACGCAGCAGCGCCATGCACGTGCCTCACCCGTGTGTGGAATTCGTGTTCTCCGCATGCCATCCCTACCAGCCCAACCTGTGTCGCCCTCCTGTGCTCCCTGCTCACATGCTCCCTCACATCCAAACGTGCAGGCTGTGGATGGTCCTTGTTGCCGCCCACTGTGTGGGCATTTTCTCCACCGCTTTACCGTCGTCCTGCTCATGTACAACCCCTTCGGCTGTGTCACCTTTGTTGAGCGGGGGCAGGCCTCAGTGCATATGCTAATGTTGCGCACTCACACTAGCTTTGTGGCAGCTCTTGTAGATTCACTGTGGCCGTGCTTGCTGTATGGCGCAGCTGTGATGCAGTAACTCGACAAAAGGGAGCCAGATGTTCCTGTGCTAAGAACCCGTGGTACTCTTGCACTGCCACTACTGTGACCACGCTCCGTGCCTTCAAGTTGATTGTGCTACTCACCGATGGAGTTCCTCAATCGAAATCTGCCACAGGTGGAAACCAATCCAGAGATTGCTTGCAGCGCTTGTAGCCTTATCAAGCTTGAAATATGTATATTTTCCGAAATGCGCAGCAGCTTGTATGCAACACAAGTTGTCGTCGAAGCTCTATTTGCCCTTCTCCAACAAATTGACAAAAGAAGGGGGTTTTGACAGAAATTGAGCGTGAACTGATATGGTTGTCAAAGCTATTAGACATTAGTGAGGTTTGCTACGGTATGTGGGGTACAAACATTAGGGAAGCTGATAGACATTCGTGAGGTTTGCCATGTGGTGTACAAACATTAGGGTCTGGTTTATGTAGTATCCAACCTAATGCAATGTCATCATTCTTGCCTACTTTGAGATGGTATCAGGAAGGAACGACCCTAGGATCGTCGTCACGCCACGTCACGTCACGCCACGCCATGTCACGTCACGTCACGCCTCGTTACGCCTTGTTACGCCACACAACGTTTCTAGGGCCTAGCTTAGGATCCTCACCTCGCCACGCCACGTCCCTTGTCTCGTCCCTAGTACCTCATTCCACGCCATTTGTTCCGCGCCACATACCTAAGGGCGTATTCCTACGGCCTCCTATCAAGAAACCTCCTATCAAGATTGTACCTTTTGCCTGGCAAAAGTAGCGAGAGGTTTGGGGTTTAGGGGATTTTCCAGTGTGAGCTTGATAGGAGGTCAGATTGATAGGAGGTTAGGAATATGCCCTAAGCTCGTGTTCCTAGAGCCCCGCCGCGCCCTGCTCCGTCGTGCCTAGCCTCGTTGCGCCCTGCCCAGTCGCGGCATGTTCCGTCGTGCCCTGCCCCGTCGCGCCCTGCCCCATCGCGCCCTGCCTCGCCGCGATTAGCCCCGTCGCGCCCTGCCCCGTCACAACCTGACCCGTCGCACTGCACCACCCGGTCGCGCCCAATTCGCGCGGTTTCGCCCTCCGCCGTCGAACCTCGTCGCGCCCAGCCCGCGCTGCCCAGGCCCTGCCCACGCCCAGCCCGCACCTTGCCGCGCTGCTCAGGCCCTGCCGGCCCCCTGCCCATGACCTGACGCGCCCTGATGCGTGGCCCAAGCCCTGCCCAGGCCCTGCCCGCATCCTTAAGTGCTGCCTAGGCCCTGCCCATACCCTGCCCGCGCCCTGACGCACCCTGCTGTGCTGCCCAAGCCCTCCTTGCGCCTTGCAGCGCCCTATTGCCTCACCCGCACCTTGTTCCGCTACGTGAGCCCATTTGACTCCCTCCTTGCACTACTTACGCCCTAACCTACTCACGCTCCTTCTGCAGCTGGAAGCCACACCTAGCCTCACCCGTTCTAGTCGCGTTTTCTTGTCTTACTGGCTATGGCGACGCCCACTGCCGCAGACAAGGAGCGCTTCGCACAGGGGCGTGCTGTTCTGTCCATTTGGCAGTCCCGCGACGCGGCGGCCTGCATCGCACTCAACAGCCTCCTTCCGAGTCAGAGGAGGCGTACTTCACCCAGGTTCGCACTGCTAGCGACTTGCTTGCTGCGATTAAGGCCCGCTACTCCACTCCCTCCTCCGCCTCTCTTGGCTGACTTTTCCTACCGTTTTTGTTCCCTGACCTCGCTTCGTCTGAGCGTGCTGCTGACCTTATAACTCACCTACATTCACTAGACACTAGTTACCGTGCTACCTATACTGAGGCCCAACTTGCAGTGCTCCCCCCCCCTTATCTACTTCATCGCTACTAGCATCCTTGACTGCCTAGCCTCTGTTAATGACATGTTAAGATTAGGAGATTATGCTGTACTTAGGTTTAGGAGAGGTTTAGTTAGGAGAACCATGGAGAGGGAACTTTGGCCAAAGTAAGAGGGGGTGAATAATGGAGGGCATACAAAGATATAGGCAAGGAGAACGCCATTGGGTGCACCACCAACACAGGTTTATAACTACACTAAAGCTACAGCTACAGGTAGTTACATAAATATATATAACTATATATTCGAACACACCCCCGTAACTGCCTGCAGCAGGAGCTTGTGCAGCAACACCCCCTGAAGGGGTACACCATGGCCGAGAGCAGCGGAAGCAGGGGAGGACAAGCAAGGAGGAGGAGGAGAGAGAGAGGGAGAGAGAGTGGAGGAGGTGGGCGGTGGCTGAAGCTGCCCGTCCACGGGCTACTGGAGCACTGGCTCTCGGGCACAGCGGTAACTGACTCGTACGCCTGGAGCATTCCGCTCGTACGGCTAGAGCAACTGACCCGACGGGCGACTGGAGCAGGGGCTCACTGGCGACTGGGACTGCAGGCTTCACAACGACCATCCCCCCCCAACCTCTCCAACCTCTCCCCCCCCCCAAACCTCCCCCCCACAGCAGCGGAGACAGCTGGAGGAGCACACAAACGGAGGAGGCGGCTGGAAAACGAAGAGGAGAGAGGAGGAGAAGGCGGAGGAAAGGTGGAGAGAGGCGGCTGGAGAGGAGAGGAGAGCAGAGGAGAGAGGAGACGAGAGGAGAGGAGGCGGCTGGCGCGGCAGATGCTATCCCGCCACCCCCTCACCCTCCTCCCCCCCCTCCCCCCCCACAGCGACAGGCGCTGAAGGGAGAGAGCAAGGAGTTGGTCACCCCCGCCATCCCCTTATCCCCCTCCCCCTCATGCGCTGGCGTCGGCGGAGGTGCTGGCGACGCGCTGGCGACCGCCGTTGGCGCAGGGCGCTGGCGTCGGCGCTGGCGCTGGCGCCTGCCGTTGGCGCTGGCGCTGGCGTTGGCGTCCGCGATGGCGCTGGCGACGGCCGTGGCGACCGTCGCTGGCGCTCGCGCTGGCGTCGGCGACGGTCAGAGGCGCTGGTGCTGGCGTCCGCGACCAGCGGCGGGGCGACGCGCCAGCGCGCGGGACGGGGCGATCAGCGCGTGGGGCGGGTAGCGCGGGGCGAGTAGCGCGGGGCAGGCAACGAAGCAGCGGGCCGACGGTCGCCACCACACAGCCCGCCGTCGCACTCGTCACGACGGTCGCAACTAAGG